ACTAAGAAAACTGAGAGTATTGAAGTATTTTCAGAGATTTCATTCAAAATAAATTGTTTATCTTGTAGATTATGAGGACTTTGGATTTCTCCATGATTCTGCCTTGAAAGCTAGGAAATTCATCCCCTACTATTCAAGTTTTACAAGACTGGAAAGGATATAAGCTGCTTCCATATTCTCACAGTCTTGGAGGAAAAGGCCTCTTGCATTCCTCCAGTTTGCATTTGGAGGTACTGACTGTACTAGACCATTTCCTGCTTCCACAGGTGTATTGTTTCATTTATTTTAAACATGTAAACTGAACTCACTTTTATTAACTCACAAAACCATTAAAAATAAGGCCTTTCCAAAACAGTTGAAGGTAAATACATCCATATAAGAAACCTTTCAATGAACCAGAGAACAAGTAAGTGACTGCTTCCTAGGTAAGGCAGAAAGGTGAAGGAGAGAGCCAAAGCTACTTTAAGTTGCTAATTGTTTTCTGAAAATCACTGTTTAGGCCCTAAAAGTAACCAGTGAGCAATGCCTTCTCTGTTCAGTTAGGAAACTTTATGCTTTCTGGGTCAAAAAAATGCTCTTAGGTGCAATCATTTTAAAACAAACAAACACATTCTGCTTATCTGTGTCCATCTCACCACTCTGGATGTTAATCATCACTGAAATAGATACCCCATTCCCCTGGCCTCAAAGAGCTCCAAGCCTACTAGACCCTGGCTGAGGAATGAATGTACATGCCAGGGCAAACACCTCAGAGCCTGACTCCCTAAACACCTATTGTTAATTCTAGGCAAATCTATCACAGGCAAATGCAAGAGAGCACCCAGGTAATGCTCAAAGGATATTTAAAATAAAATTCAAGTTTGAAAACATAGAGGACTTAATTTAGGAGAAGATCAAGACTGCAAAAGTATTTTTAAAAATAGATTTACATACATGGATATACTTTTTTCTTTCCATTCTTTGCTCTTGTTAATTTTACAGTATCAGAATTTACAAATAGCACCCTTGCCCTTCCACCTCTCATACCTTCTAACTTCTTGCACTTAGCCTACATTATAAACTGACCGAGTTAAATTTCACTGTTTTGTTCTTGAAGACTGAACTAGCTTAGTTTTGCCCCTACTGTTCAGGAAAAACTTAAAAGATTGCTATATGAAACATTTCCTTGATTTTTATATTAAAGATATTTCTATTCCCCCAGGCTTCATAAAACATTCAAATAAAACTGATTTTAAACCAGATGACTGACTCAAGCTGTCTTTGTGTCCACTTAAAAAAGAAGTTCAGGATACCTACCAGTGCTCACTGTTTGGGCAGGAGGCCTAAAGGGAAGCAAATTATTTGTTTGTGGTTTTAAAGTGGCCAAAATGCCTTCAAGCACAAGTATAGACCATTAACAAATCACAAGGAACCAAAGCAGTTCATCTTACTCAACAAAGCTATGATCAGTTAGGAACGGCCAAACTGAATGGGACTTGCCCTGGGCCGGAAGGTCAGTAAATCTTACTTTGTGTTTCCGAGAATTCATGAGGCTCTTCGGCAGGGAGTACAGACCCTAAAGCTCACAGGTTCTGCTGTCATGTTGCCAAAAACATTCAGGACAGGTGAGGGAAACTAAGCAGTGTGTGTGTGTGTGTGTGTGTGTTTTCCCCACCTCCTGTCTTTAGGCAGCATCTCCAAGTCAAACCATCTTCACTTTTGCTATATAGACTGACTGGAGGAGAAGACAAGCAATTAAAACGTTCCATTTTACACCAATTTATTGAGTGCCTACTATGTGCCGAATACTGTGCTATCACTTACACATCACAACACTTAAGTCTCATTTTACTGGATATGTTATTCCCATTGTTTACAGATGATAAAACTCCGGGGCAGTGAAGCTGTGTGGCTTCTGATAAAATGCAGTTTTGTGTTGTGCTTATAAAAACTTATCCTACTGTCCAGTGTGCAGTTAATTAGCCCAAAATATGAACTACAGCCCTGCCACTATCCAAGCAGCCGCACCTGCATTGAACTTTGAGCCCAAGCTCCCTGATGCCCTAAGAGGGCTGGGGTACATGCCATCTCCCTCCAGGGATGACAACCACCTCTCTTGGTGGCTTATCACATCTCTGCAGCTGTCCAAAAACAGACCACACTGGTAAAGATTCTCTCCACCTGCTGTAACACGCATAGCTTTTCCCCTCAACTCAGAAAATACGAGCAGTGACCCTGCTCTTTATCAAGTGCTGTGGTAAAACAACTTCCCTAGAAAGTTGGAGATACCACATCCTAGGACATAGGCAAGAAATCAAAACACACATGGCTAATAAATAATAAAGCCAAATCACCTGGCAGTCTCAAAGCACTTTATACTATAAACTGATTTTCATTTTGTTATTATTGCTTACAGAATGCACACTCATTCACATTATCTCTTAGAGCATTTGAGAAGGAAAGAAAAATAAACATAAATTCTTTCATTTGTTCATTCAATCTCTATAAACAAGAAAGCCAAATTTTGCCATGGCTGACTTGGGTTTCGGGCATTTTAGACAACTTCTCTTCTAGGTCAACTGACATGTTCTTTGAAAGAGTTTTTCTTACAAAAAATGAAGGTAATAAGACTTGCATGCCCCCCAAATCCCAAAGAATCATTATCATCAACAACAAAATCATACTAGAAATAATAAAAGTTAAACAAAATTATCAGGTTCAAAATTTCCAAAAGATTGTAGCAATCCTGGACATCATTAATAATACCCAGCTGAAAAACATACTGAAAAAGAGATTGCATTCACAATAAAAACAAAATGAATAGCATATTTAGGAATACTTAGGAATAAGTGTAACAACAGACATGTAGAAACTTTATAGTGAAAACCACAGAAACTTTTGAAAACGCACAGAATTTTTTTTTTTTTTGCTGGGGTGTTGAGTGAGAGTGAAGACGTCACACACATACAAATCCAACAAGGATAATCTAAACCTAACAGATATTAGACTGTCAAAAAGCAGCAATATTTAAAATAGAAGGGAAATGGAAAAATACATCAGTGGAACAAAATGGAGAGTTCAGATATAGACCCAATATATATACATATATAATATGTATGTATGTGTGACTGTATATACACATAGCTATATAAACTCAATATATGGCAAAGTAAGCTTTCTAAAACAAAATTTTTTTGTCTTTCTAAAGGGAAAGACAAGAATTATTTAACAAAAAGTGTAGTGGTAACTAGGTAGGTGTTTAGAAAAAAAGAAGGTTGAACTCACCCCTTACACCAAAACAAAAGTGATATTAATCAAAGTGTTAACTATTTTTAAAAATCAAATTTTAGGAAGACCAACAGAATATCAGAGAAGACTTATCAGGTCTGTGGAGAAATCATAAATGTCTCAGTTTGCAGGGGTGGAAGAGATTTAAAAATCACATAAAAACTGACAGATTCTGATATATTTAAATGTAAAACTTCTATAGGCTAAAAACAGTGAAGTAAAAAGAACAAACTGGGAAAAATATAATATTTGCATCAAAGATGACATACTAGAGCCTAATATCTATGACCCACAAGGCCTGGAATCCTTTATAACAGTAACTTCAGGACCCCAATAATAAATGTGCAAAGGCTAGGAAAAGACAATCTCACGGGTGAAACAAACACAGGGGAAAATATTTATGCTGGTCAGTGGTAAAGGAATGCAAAATAACAAAATTTTGAGATACCATTATATGTCCACTAACATAGCAAAGATTTTTTAAATTCTTACATGAAATTAGCTTAATAATTTGTTGCTATTGTCACTGTAACTTGGTACAACACCTTTTTACAAACCATAACCTTTGATCCAGTAATGCCAATATTGAGAATTTATCCTAAGGAACCAATTCAAAAAGACATATGTATTATACAGTATGTGACATATCTCAATAAAGCTGTTACCAAAAAGTGCATTAAATTATTCATTTCCTTGTTATCTATGATAGCAAAAAGCTGCATACAACCTGAAAGTCTAATATTAGAGGAATGTTTTTAATCTCATGGTACAGCCCACAAACATTTATTATGTACCTATTCTGTTAGGATCAGTAGGATAGCAACTAAGAGGAGGAAAAAGTGTGCAAATGAAAAGTAATTTTTAAAACTGAATAGTTATCTAGAGGTGGTGGTATTATAGCTTTTTATGTTTTAAACCAACTTTCTTTAATGTTGCTATACTGTATTAGAACTACCTTTTTTAACCCAAATTGGATGGAGCTGGGTGCAATCTGAAAGCTTTTACTCCTCCAGTTCCACATTTTTTTTTCCCCTCCCTATTAACTGCTTACATGGTTAAGTTTTTCATTCACAGGTCTCAGATCCTACCAAGTACAGGCCAAATTACAATACCATGCCTTCGTGTACAGTCTATACTGTACTCATCCAACCCCCTGCCATAAGCAGGCACCCTTTTTTGTGTCATTCTGCCTCCATCAAGTCGTAAACTATGGTTGACACTTGGACCAAGGGCCTTCTTGTGGGGTGTGAACCCTTTCCTCCGTATTCGATTTTATCCACGCTCTGAAGCCTAACAACCCTTGGAAGGGGGTGAGAGGGTGAATGTCCACAAAAACGTCCTGAAAGGCCACATAGTGGATATGGGTCCTACACCTGGACGGGTGGAGGCCTCTAAAGCCACAGACCAGCCGGGCTCCTCTGGAGCTGAGGAACCCAGGCGGTCAACGTCTGCGAAAAGACACAATTAAAAGCTGACGAGAGTGCTTAAGATGGCTAATTGTGAGGAGCCGCCCACGGGGAGGGTGCTGACTGAGGGATGCTGTTGGGAGGCCTCCTCGGATGGGGTCCTCTGAGAGGAGCAGGGTGCTCGGGGAGGGATCGGCGGAGGCCGGGTCCAGGCCTCAGAATTCGGGGTGCGACACAGCCCCAGGCCGACCAGGCCGCGGCGCCCCGCCCTTTCCCGGGACGAGGGCCGGCCCGGGGCGGGGAGCGGGTGGGCGAGCGGGCGCTTACAGGTCGGTGCCGAGACGCGTGAAGCCGGAGTTGAGCGAGGCCCGGGCTATCCGGCGCCAGAGCAGGTCGCAGTTGGTGAAGCGCCGCAGCCAGCGGCACACCTGAGCCAGGCGGCCGAGGGCCTGCATGTCCAGGTAGGAACAGATGAGCAGCAGCAGCTCCTCCGGCAGGCGCAGGAGCGCGGGCCCCGCGGCGGGGCGGCCGGCAGGCTTCCGGGCTCCCGCCTCTTCCTCAGCCGCCGCCGCCATGGCCGCCCCTGTCCCAGCGAGGCGGCCCCAAGCCTGACACCCTCGTCCCTGTGCTCTCGCCGGCCTGGCCTCCTCCCGCTGTCCAGTTCTGACCCTCCACTCCTCCTTCTTCCCATCATATCTTCCTTTGGCCTCCTTCCGCGCCCCTGCGCTCCCCTCATCTCCCCTGACGATCCTTTTCGTCCCTTCCTCTACGCTTCCGCCTCCCTCTCCTACCTTTCCCAGGCCTGCCCTCTCTCCCGCCTCGGCCCCCAGCCCCGCTGCCTCCTTCGCCTGTGGCGGCTGCGGCTTCCCTTCCGCCCCGCTTCCTCTTCCGCCTTGCCCTGCTTCTGCTTTCCCCTTCCCCTTCCCTTTCCTCCGCTTTCCCCTCGCGGCTCTCCCTTCCTGCAGTTTCCTCGTCTCCCCGCTCTCGCCCTCGCCAGGCCCGCCGTTCCCGGGGGGCCCTAAGCCGCCCTGGCTGCCCATGAGCGGCCGCGGAGCCGGCCCGACGCAGAGCCAAGCCCGAGCCGCCGCCACCGCCGCCGCCGCCGCCCCAGGAGGAGGCGACACCATGTCGGACCGGGTCACATGGGGCGGCGCGGGCCGAGGCCTGGGCCCGCCCCTCACACCCGCGGCCGTGGAGCGGCTTCGGGGTGCGGGCCGAGACCGGGGATATGCCCCCTCCCATACCCCGGGCCGCCCGGAGCGTGTGCAGGAAGCGCAGCTTGCGTTCATCTAGCTAGCAAGGCCTGCCGAGCACCTGGCTACGGCGGCAAGAGGAGCTTCCGCATTCAAGAAGCGCTTAGTTCTAGCCGCTGCCCTCAAGAAGCACACACTTGGATGGCCTTCCCCCTCCGGTAGCCCTCTACTTCGGCTGATGCCTCCTTTCCACAGGCCACGTACCAGGGCCCCACGAACTGCATCCCTAGAAGTAGGCCGGGTTCTCACACGGGGTGTAAACCACAGTCCTAGCAATGAGCTGGCATTTTAGACGTTTTGGGAGGTTGCAGTCCTCTAGATCCTGAATCCATAACTCCCCAGTCATGTATAAGCAAGTGGTAAAGCTATTAGTCACCACGCAAGGGCAAGTGGATTCTCCAAGGTCATCCAGGAGCCCTTTCCCACACCACCCATTGCATTCACAAGGCCACCAATTTGAAGCTAGAGCTTAGAAGAATCTACTGAAGTCTAGACATGCTGTCCTGCACAGGCCCCTCTAGTCACACGTGGCTTTGGGGCATTGGAAACGTGACTAGTCCAAATCGAGGTGTGCTGTAAGTGTGAAAAACCCACCAGATTTTGAAGACTTATAAAAGAAAAAGAATGTGAACTATCTTATTAATAGTTTTATATTAATTACATGTTGAAGTGATAAGATTTTTGATACATTGGCCTAAATATACTTTAATGTAACTGCTAGAAAGGTTAAAATTATACATGTGACTTGAATTTGTGGCCCACATTATTTTTTCTACTGGACAGCATTGGGGGAGGCAGTAAGATTGGGAAGTGGGGGAGGAATATGCCTATCCCTGTCTGTATCCTGTACCCCAAATCCTAACAGTAAGGATTTGAGGGTTTTATTTTGTATTTACATCTTAGGATCCATTTTCAGAAACAAGAATGAATGAGAAATCGACTCTGGAAATTATTCAACACCTAGCATAGGCAAGGAGAGACTTAGGAGAGCAACGACATTGCATTATGTCACTGCAGAAGCATCATGTAACAAGGTCAGACCGGAATCTGGCTTTGCCCTAGAATTACTTTTTGATCTTAGCAAAACAACAACAAAAAACCCCACCTATCTTGGCCTTTTAGTGTTCTCAGTCTGTAGTGGAGATAATGCCTCTGCCTTACTTTCGAGGGATAAATGAGATGATCCCTGTAAAATGCTTTGAACTCCTCTAAGAAAATTCTCAATAATAGTTACAGGTCAAATCCTTTTACAAAAAATACCCTACAAAAGGAAGAAAAAAAAAAGGTACAACAAAGGCTTTGTGTAGAAAAAGATTTCCAAACCCCAGCCAGTGGTTTACTTATTAAAAGCAATATTTGACACATTTCAGTACAACTAAAGAATTTAGACCATCTCTTAGAAATCATTATAAAGAAATCTACTGATTTCATACTGTTAGAAGGCTGTTGAGGTAGGAATGCTGAGTATTGAGGTAATATCATCAATTCAGCACTTACTGATTTTGCTACAGTTGTGTACTGTGAGCCACTCTGAAAGGAAGAGAGAGATGACTATAGCATATGGTTCCTACATTTTGTGTTCATATTTGTGTTAAATATGTTTGTAATTTCTTACTGTTTGACTATTTTTTAACCGTTCCTTTACACAGAGTAAAACTAAGTAGTTCATCTGCACTGTACCTAGTTTTTAGTGGAAGACTTGAAAGCACAGAAAATTATTTAATTAACCCAACATAAATCAAGTCAGTATTAAAATCCACAATCACACAAATGCAACTTATTCTTTACCCCATGTTGGCCTCATTGCTGGAGAAATTAAACCATCATTTAAAATTATCAGATCACCCTTTTTCACACCCAAACTAGAGATCAAGTGAACTGTTTAAGCTAGAATTTATGGTTTACTGATTTACAAAATAAGCCAAAGTACTCACCAGGCAGAAAGGCAAAGCCAAAATGGAAAATTGGCATATATTCTATTATTTGGTGGTGATGTGTATCCCTAAATTCCTGAGCTTAAAAAAAAAAAAAAAAACCTACAGTTTAGTCTCAGCTCAGAGAAGCAGCTAGAATTTTTCATCAACCCTCCCTCCCCAACAAAACAAAAAAAATCCAATGTGGGGTTTAAACCAAACTTGGAAAAAACTACATCACAAAAAGCACTTTTAATGTTCTTTTTGGAGACAGGTTATTTAAAAAAATCCGCTGGATAGGAATTCCCTGGCGGTCTAGTGGTTAGGACTCCATGCTTTCACTGCCAAGGGCTGGGTTTGATCCCTGGTTGGGGAACTAAGATCCCACAAGTCTCATGGAATAGCCAAAAAAAAAAAAGGATAAAAAATCAGCTGGGGCTGAAAAGATGGTTTGTAACAAAAGTAAATGCATATCTTCATGGGGAACCTGAATAGTGTTTTATTATCAAAGAAAATAGATATGTTAATAGCCAGAAAAGAAAATAGAAAGAGTACACTGGACTTCAGAACATCTTTCAGAAAAGTCATCAACTCCCTTGAAATTCAAATCCAGGAACCAATCGTAGTGAAATAATATGGGGGGTGGGGTGAAATTTACCTTGTTTTTATAAGGCATTTTATTTAAAATTTTTAAAACTTGCATACTAATAAGTAAACTGAAAACATTGGACTACTTTTAACTTAGAATGCCAAAAACATGGAATTCATAATATTTTAAAACATAAAACAATATGAATTTTTTTTCATTGAAGTACAGTTGATTTACAATATTAGTTTTAGATGTACAGCGTAATGATTCAATATTTTTATAGATTATATTCCACTTAAAGTTATTATAGAACTTCCCTGGTGGCACAGTGGTTAAGAATCCGCCTGCCAGTGCAGGGAACACAGGTTCGAGCCCTGGTCCAGAAAGATCTCACATGCCGCAGAGCAACTAAGCCCACATGCGACAACTACTGAAGCCCATGACCCTGGAGCCCGGGCTCCCCAACAAGAGAAGCCACCACAGTGAGAAGCCTGCACACCGCAACCAAGAGTAGCCCCCGCTCACCGCAACTAGAGAAAGCTTGTGCGCAGCAAGGAGGACCCAACGCAGCCAAAATTAAAATAAATTAAATTAAAAAAAAAACTTTCAAAAAAAATAGTTATTATAAAATATTGCCTATATTCCCTATGTTGTATGAGACAATATGAATTTCATACTGGGAATTTAGAAATACTAATATTAGTTTACTTTTAGAGAGAATTTTTAAGTACAGATATAAAGTTCTTTGTGTATGTCCATGTAACTGACATGCATAGTAGTGATTATTGTTATAGGTAATGTATAATATATGTTTAAGATTGTGAAAAGGCTAGAATTGTGTGTTCCGTCCATTCTTATAAACATAGGTGACAGTCTCAGACAGGAGCCTGTTCCCACATTCAGTACTCCTGCACCCACATGCCCCTTAGGTAAGTCCTCAGGGCCCCAGCCTTTAACTTTAAAGGCAGATTTAGTAGGGGAATTATTCTGAGATGAATGAGAGAGAGTGAGATTATTTTATGAATGACAATTTTCAATGTCATATGTTGGCTCAGACACTCACCATTATTCCTTTATAATAATAATAGCTTATATTTATTGAGCACTTACTATATTTCAGGAACTATCATAAGAGCCTTCCATGTATTGTCTCACTTATTCATATCAACAACCACATAAGGAAGATACTATTAACCCATTTTTTGCAGAAGATGAAACTGAGGCCTATGGTCATGTTTCCTAAATGACAGAGCAGGTATCAAATCTAGACAGTCTAACCCCAAAGCTTGTACTCTGAACTGTGCCTTCACCATACACAGCAGAAAATGGAATAGGAATAAGGCATTGAATTCAAGGTCCTCTAGGATCCCTTACAACTAATATAGACACACCTAGTAATATACTTTACTTCTGACCATCAGGCAGGTCTGATATCTAAATAAAAGCTGCTTCTAAACAATTAAAGTAGATCCTGCATGTCTCAGTTACTTTTTAAGGGTTAACCATGTAGAACCTACAGCCTCTTAATGCTTTTCATAATCTTTTTGCAAGACTTTAAAAGGATTTTTAGGAACTAATATATCTTACAAAAGAATATATAACTAAAGTTTAGTAATTCCTTCATTTTGCTTCACCTTCAATTTCTTATGTTAAATTTAAGCAACAGTGTGTGTATGGTATGTATTATGAGCCTTTTTTGTAAATCTGTCCCTACCTATATATATTCAAAGTGAGACTTCGTAGAATGATGTTAATAATGGTTATTTCTAGGTAATGGAATTTTGGGATTTTACTTTGTACTTTTCTGTATTGCTTGATTTTTTTTTTAATAAGAAGCATGTATCACCTTTACAAAATCAATAAAGTCGCTCAAAAAGAAGAATAGAGTTGTCATGCATCCAAACACACCATGCAACAAGAAAGTTGGAGATTTGAAGCCTAGATCATTGCCAGAGTTTTTAACTAGCCACCTAAGTTTCTTCAAACTTTATTTATTCCATTAAAATGTGTATCATGCAATAGTAAAATAATGAACAAAGTAGAGTATTAGAAAGAAGAAATAAGAGGCCTAACAATGAATACAAAAACATTTGAGGCTCTCATAAATAGAAGGATCAAGTCTAAAGTGTTGTTTTCAGAAATTACCAGGTTGGTAGTTTATATTCTGAAATCCTGTTAGAAACACAACCAAGATCTGCTCTGTTTTTCTATGAATCCACTATCTTTGTCCTATTCAAAGATAAAATATTTTAATTTCATATGAAATAATTTAAAGTATTGTTTAAAAATAGTACTTTATGCAGAAAAGACTAGAAGGAAATATGTCCATATGCTAGAAATGGATGCTGATGAGAGGTGGAGTTGCGGGAAGTTCTTTGTGCTGTTGCTTTACACCTTTCTGCATTTTCTAAATGTTCTGCAATGAGCATATATTACATAGATAATCAGTTTTTCTTTCTTTTCTTTTTTTTGAATTTATTTTTTTATACAGCAGTTTCTTATTAGTTATCTATTTTATACATATTAATGCATATATGTCAATCCCAATCTCCCAATTCATCCCACCACCACCCGCTTTCCCCCCTTGGTGTCCATACGTTTATTCTCTACATCTGTGTCTCTATTTCTGCCTTGCAAACTGGTTCATCTG